TATATCAATGAATTTGGCATCAAAACATTGCTTATATTTCAAATTTTAATATTACGTATGTTTTAATTTCTTAATAAGAAAATATAAATAAAATAAAGCATAGCACCTCCTCATGTCTTGTTGCTCAGTTTATTTTTTTATGCCTACTATATACATCTACAAGTGGTTAACAAATTAGAAGCATGAATTTTAGATACTGGCAAGCTAGAATATATATTTAGAACCTCCCACCACTTTGATTTGTTAACAAATCAATGTATATAGCAAATCAACTACAGTGGCACCTCCTACTCCATTCTTTTCAAACCTCTTGTTTAGTTCCACCTACTTTTGTTAAGGGTGTGTTTATAACCAATAGAAAGGGCAAGTTGTGCTTTACATGATTCTGACAGTTGTTTGTAAAGAGCTTGGAAGAAAAAATAATAATTTTTCCAAGACTGTTGAATGGTGATGACTAAGTTGTTGCTCTGAACAGAGATAAAAAACTTTTTAACATATATCCTTATGAACCATTAGAAGATAGGATTTAGACATAATTGTTTATCCCTAATGTGTCACATATTGACAATAATATTTTGTTATAGTACATTACTTCTTAGCATGTATGTATTCTAAGTAAGGTTTCATTCTAGTTCTTTACTCTTTCGCATGTCTACATAGACTATAATGATTAGATGTGGTTAATTACTATTTCATGTACCATTAGAAGATAGGGTTTAGACAATCATTTACTCTTTACCATGTCACTTATAGTCAATGTTTAGATGTTGCTACTTACTCAATCGTATGTACTCCTACTGGATAATGTTTGATCTTCTTTCCTTACTCCTTAACATATATGTGTAGAAGATAGCATTCAGACATAGTTCTGGGCCTATTCCATTTGAATGTGTTCATAACCTATCATGTTCTGGGAGCACTACACATCGTTGCAGCAGTTTTCTCAACATGACCTTGTTCTACCCATGGGTAGATTATTCACCCACTGGTCTTCTGTTGTTCTTTTTTCTCATGTTCCTCCTCCTTTTATTGCCTTGCCAAACCCCTATTTGAACTTCCTCTATTCTGGTTTGCTGTGTCTGATTACTAAGCCCTGGCTGTCTATATCTTTTGTCTGGTTTGATCCCATCTTTGGTCTCCAACTCCTTCTTTAGGTCCTTGCTAAGTTTTGGGATACCCCTTAAATGGTCTCTTTGGTAGCCCCTCACAGGCTACTCCAACCTTGTTTCTATTACTCCACCTCTTTGGGTCTAAGCCCTAACTTCTCCTTCCCAACTTTCCATCCCTTCTGATCCATCCTCACACACACATTGCTCTTTCCTCAGGATATGACATCCCTTTATCATTATGTGTGGGATTAGCCAGTAGCTGTCCCACTCCTATTACATTTTTACATCTTCTGTGTGCTGTCAAATGGGACATACTTATCACCTTGGTCTTGTTGTCACCATTTCCCTTTGACTTCATTACATTGTAACATATTCCTCCTCTTTCACAGGACTGTTCTCCCTTGATCTGTAAGTCTCTTTTATCTCGTATTTTTGGGCAGCATTTCCTCTACCTTTGACAAATCCTAATATTACAGTTTCTTTTGTTCTCTGCCTCCTTCCTCCCCTCTTTCATTCCTTCCTTAGCTACTGCCACCCTTCCTACTTATTGTTTGATTGGATCATCATTGTGGTTCTCCATGATCTTACTGGCATCCCTAGCAAACCTCTACCAGGTGTTTCTGTTCTCCCTAGACACATTAGTCCTCTTCCTACTTGCCTGTGATTGCTGTTGTTCACATATCTATGCTCTTATTTCCTCCTGGTTTCTCATTACTACTCTTCCCTTCTCCTTTGTCCTGGCCGGTTTTTCCTTCCCTCTTATTCCATGGCAGGGGAAAGTGTTCACTCCTTTTCTTCCATATCCCCTTCTTCAATTTCTAATTTTGCTGTAAATTCTTTTCTAGACAGTGGCTCTTGTCCTGTCCGGGCCACTCCATGTTTTTACACACTCTTTCTTGTTGTCCCTCTCACTGTCCTTTCTTATCTGACACACCTCCTATATACAGGTCCTCTCTCCTTACCTCATTGCAGATTGGATCTGCCAGCTCATATATTTTGTAGGCTGATGTTTGTATGCTCTCTCTCAAGTTTTCTCTCTTCAGCTCCCCTCCCCATTCTCTAGATAGGCATGTGGATTACCCCACAATCATTTGGTTCACATTAAACTATCTCCACCTTTTGGCTGTCTCATCTGTAACAGCATACAGACTTCCACCAATGACCATTTTTCAATTCACCCTGCTTCTTTTACATTTGGATCCTACTAGGTAGCTAGTGGTGCTTTACAAGGTATACTTACCCAAAATTCTGCATCAGGCCAAGATACTGGAAAGAACTCGCACCATATACCTTGGCTCAATCAGTGCTCACTGTGAAATAGTGTGTTCTGCAAGACCATTGGAGTTCTACTATGATATTTCTACAGTCCAATTTATACTATACCCATTCCATGGACTATGGTGGAAAAAGTCAGCACCAGAGTTATGCTTCTGCATGCTTCTCTGGCTAGAGCTTCTGGCTTTTAAAAGTAAGTTTTTATGGTTACCTATTGCACTGTTTCCAGTAAAAGACCTTTCTGGACTGAACGACTGATAGGGATCTGTACACATTGTCTGTGTCTCTCCCATATCAATTCTCCACTCTCTTTGAGTGCAGCATGGAATACCCACAGTCACTTACAAGCTCCCAGCTGCTGGGATGGTAGACCATGGAGAATCCTCACTAACCTGTACCTGAAAGTGGGTGCTCAAACACAGAGTCCCTCTACACTGAGAAGTGGGGCAGGGATTTTCTGAAGAGTAGTACAGACAACACCAACCTGTCTAGATACATCACAATCTTCAAGTGGATTTCAGACATATATCTTGCCTACTCTCTATTCTTCCTTTACCTACTCCTGCAAGGACATGATCTCCCTTATTATGCTCGCAAAGTCAATTATATTTAGTAACTCTCTTTTATAGGCTCAGTTGATTTGGCCTAAAAATGGATCCTAAATTGGCCTTTAGAGTTTCCATACTATAACTTCTAATATAATATGTGTATCTTCAAGAAATTTTGTAAGCTTTCAGTAATCATAAAGAGTCCTTTGTAGAAAAAAAATCACTTTTTTAAACATCAGAGAGAACTATTGGCAATTTTTGAAAAAGAGGATGTGACAAGTGGTTGTGACAAAAGGAGTTTAATTTTTTATTTGATGGCTTTGTAACTAAATAAGATTGAAGGTTATAACAATTATGCTTCGCCTGAGCAATGAAAGCATTATAATGAGTAACTTGCATAAAATTTTGTACATCTTGGAGAGGTAGTAAATATATTAGAGAAGAGGTAATTGGATGTCTAGAGAGAAAAAATGTTACAGTTCTTATATTAGGGGCAATTCAGGATTTTTTAAAATATTTTCACATAAAATTATGAATTTAAAATTTATATACTAATTTATTTGTATTATTAGCTATGTTTTTATACCTTGACAAGAAAGTAGTTTAATTAAATTTTGAATTTAAATTGGTAAAACATCATGATGCACAGAAAAAGATGTAGTGAAAGAGTTAATGTGTATGAAAGACTAAGGTTTCTCAGCATAGAGCCATGAGATAACCCACTTACAATTTCAATCTAGCTGGACTGAACTTTATATATTACAACTTTTTTGCTTCCTCTTCCTACTCAACCATTAATCTATTGAGCTAACATTCACAGATTTGACCAACCACACGATCTCTTTGTACTCATTTAAAGTCTTTATAGATTTAATGCTTCTAACTTTCAGTGTAGTATGTATATCTTCACAGAATTTGGCAGTCTTTCAGTTAACATTATAAGTCTTTCACATACAAAAAATCATATTTTTAGTGAAGTATTTTTATTAAACTAAAATAAAGATTTCTTCATGAATATATTGAGTATTTGTTTTGAATAGTCTGTTTGCAAAGTAATTTTCATGTTAAGATTAAAAATACTTTTCCTCTCAAAAATCTCAAATTTCCTTTGTGTAATCCCTAAAACATTCTGAAATACATTTCAAACGTTTTTATACATTAGGTAAAATAAATAATAATATAATTTATCTAATCTTAACTAACCTAAAAAGATACCTATTTTTACATTTTAGTCACTTTTATAATAATAAATAAATAATAAACATGAAAAACAAGAAATAAATTACTTACCTATTCTTATTTTTTCTTGCTGTGGATTATACTTAAGCCCACATATTTTATACTAATGGTAGTAATGCGTTAAATAATGCACCAAAGAACATAGACTAATAACATGCACAAAGCTGACAATTGCTACAAACTCTCAAAATTTTTATGTCTTTCCTACTATATGACAAGAGCTGTTACAAATTCATCCAAGCTAGTTATTAACTTTTCCATGAGAATGAAGTTTGTACTTTTAAGTGAAATTGATGCTTATCTGTTCAGAATAGATAGATAGATAAAAACCTTGACTTGGTAATACATATCTAATATATAATTAAACATAAAGGAGAACTATTAACAAAGTCTGAAAGAGAGGATATGACAGGAGGGGTGTGATTTTCTATTTATAGCTCTGTAACCAAACAAAATTGACGGCTACAAAAATTATGGTTTGTTTGAGTAGTGACAATTCTATAGAGACTAATTTCAAGGGGTGATGGATAAAATAGAGAAGACAAGATGCCTAGAAAAAATGTGTGTTACACTAGGGGAATTCAGGATTTTTTTAAATACTGCTTTGTAGAAATAGGAACTTAAAACTTGTATACTATTAAAATATGGATTATTAGCTATGCTTTTATGCTATACTATTTGGTATAATGCAAACAAAAAGTAATTTAATAAAATTTTGAATGTAAGACACTAAAACTTTCTGTCATGTGTAATAAAGGATATCTGTGGTGAAGTGGTTAGTTACAGTAAAAAGTGTTTTGTGAAATAATGGTAAGCACTTTTTTTTCAGGTAATTCTGTAGCACCTGAGATTCCAGTAGTAAAACAACCACCAACACACTTGATCAGAATAGAAATTGAAAATGAAGAATCTCATAACAAGAATACAAGTCTTCCTGAAAGGTATACTCTAATGCTCTTAACTTTGAATGCCTAAAATATGTGTAAACTATTGTTTTACATTCAGGGTGACTGAGTGATAAAATTAGAAAATTTGGCAATGGCATTTTTGTTGCTTCTGTTGTGCTATATGAAATACTTGTTATCTTGCTTCTAAGTTCATGTTGATTAAGTTGTGAAGCAATTTAGCTGATAGATAGTGGACAGTATCTGTGCACATGTGCCATATCATATCACATTTTGAAATTTCCTCAATATTGCTGACAATGACATGAAACATACATTTAAGAACTGTTTTGGAATTAAATTGATAAAATTTTCAAAGTAAGGCACTTAACCTTATTACTACCAGCTTCTTGTATTGCTCTTGTCATATTTCTTTCCAAAAATAAAACTAGCTGATGAAATTGTTTGAAATTTGACAAGAACTTTCCTAAAAGTATGTAGTTTCAAATAATAAAACATTTAATTTTGATTTTTTTCTATTATTTCTAGAAAAATTGTTATTTAATGTAGTTATTTGCACTTGGACTCTGAATAGCTCACCTGCAAGGTGATTTTCATGTTGAATATAAAAATACTATTTATTATCTTACAGTTTTTACATGTCACTTGCATAATCTTTAGGACCTCCTTAATGAATATCAAAAGTTTTTGAGGTAAATATTGATATTTTATTTTCAACTTTCTCTACTACATCAGTAACTGTAGCTATTATCATCAACATACACTGTAATGAAATGTTTAAAATTAAGAAATGCTTTTAATGCTTAGAGATGGCTTGAATGGGTAATGAAGAAAAACTTAAGTTAACATAACAGCAAATGTATAGTGTTTTGACAAGGTTTTGTCATCATCAGGTACAAGTAGTTTACATTGACACACACACATATATATATACAGTATGGAACAAAGAGGTTTTTTTGACTGGATACAGTTGCATGACTAAGAAGAGATATCTTGGCACCCCAGGGTGTTGGTTTAGAGTAGGGTTGTTTTGTTCAATTAAGATGGATTCCTTGATTTTTAGTTTGTTTATGTTTGGATCTCTGTTTAAAATTACTGTGTTTTTAATAGATATACTATGGTTTTTTTAGGTTGCAGTGGTGGAAAACGTGGGATGGTTTTTTTATCGTGTTTTGTGAATTTGGTTTCCAATTTTCTTCCTGTTTCTCCAATGTAGAATTATGGGCAGTTATTGTATGTTATTTTGTAAATAATGTTTATTTAGTAACAATTTTAATTTAGGGGCTGGGGTTTTGAGAGAATTTGCTGTTGACAGGAATTTTGTGTTTAATGGCTAGTTTTGTCCAAGTGTGAATAATTCTTGAGGTGGTATCAAGGACAAAAGGTAAACTGCAGTGTAATGTTCTGTTGTTGGGTTTGTTAGTATCAATTTTGTTCTTTAGTTGAGTTTTGTTGTGGTGAATGTTGGAGAGTTTTTCAACAATAGCTATTTGAAATTTATTGGTGTGAATGAAGAAATGCTTTGTGTTGTGGATTTCTTCATCTGTGTAGTCTGTTTAACAGAGTCTTGTGGCTGTGTTTATGAGGTTTTTCAGTGTATTGATGCCTTCAATTTCAAATATACACTTCCCTTATCTCCTTCCCTTCTCCAGGGAGTCTCATATCTTGCCAATGTCTGTCAGAGGGAGTTCAGGACTTTCTTTCCAAGGGTGCTATAGAATCTGTGGCTCATCCCAGCCACAAGTTCTATTCCCAGTTGTTTGTTGTCCCCCAAAAGACAGGAGACTGGTGACCTATCATCGATTTTTCCATCTGAACTGATTTTTAGACATTCATTGTTTCACCATGGAGTCGTTTCTGTCACTTTGATGGGCATTTATTCCAGAGTTGTGGATGACATATTTTCAATGTGTCTGATGCTTATATCTATGTCTTTATATCACCAGCATCTCGTTGGTTTCTTCAATTCATCCATCTTTCCTCAGCCACCTACATGTTTTGTCAGGTGGTCAAAGCTTTTGCCAGATGAATCCACTACCAGGGACTTTGGTTGCATCATTACATTGACAATTCGCTTCTTCTATCTTCATTGTGGGCAGTAGCCTCCTGCCACTTGGTTTCTTCTTTGAGAAGCTGTGCTTGTTGGTTGGTTGGTCCATCAAGGTAGAGAAGTCTGTACTGACTCCAACTCAATATCTGGTTCATCTTGGGGTCTTTTTTATCTCCTACCTCAGTTAGGCCTAACTATCTTCAGTTTGTATTCAGTCCATGGAGCTAACAGCTCAAAAGGCACAATCTACTCCTACTCTACCCACTTGAGAGGTTCTATCACTTTTAGGGACTTGGGCATCCTTGGAAGCCCTTATTCCCCTGGGTCATGCCCACATGAGATCTCTTCAATGGGTTGTACATGATCAGAAGGACCTTGCCAGAGATCCTCTGGATTCTTTTATTTCCTTCCTCCCTGGAAACAGCCTTTGTCTAATGGCTGAATAGAGACACCACCACAGCTGGAGTTCCTCTTACTTTTTGTATATGCATTTCTGTCAGGTAGGGGGGGGGGGTGTATTTGGATGCTTAGGAATTTTTGGCAGTTTGTCAGGTTATTGATAATTTATTTGTCCTTTTCCAGGACAAGTTGGTCATGATCCATTTTGACAATTTGACTGTTCTCTTGCATCATCTGGCAGGAGGTACTCATCCTCGGTCTCTGTGTTTTCAAACATTGGTCCTTCTTGTATTGGGCACACAGCCAGTGGATTCATCTACAGGCTTGCCATATTCCAGGTAATCTGGTCCCAACAGGATTCTCCCCACAGAGTGGTTCCTTGATCTATAGTTATCCGGTGGCTCTATTCTCAGTTGGATGCTTTTGCCACCCATCAGAATAGAAAACTCCCTCCTTTTTTGTGTCTCCTGTTCTGTATCCTTCAGCTTTAACCCGTTCCTGCCGTGGTCATTTTGTCTTATTGTGAGGGCAAAATCACATTTGTGAATTGTTTTTGTAAATAGTAGCATAACATTCAATTATTTATACAAAATTGTATAATTTAATGAAGTTTAAAGAGGAATTTAGTGAAAAAAATCCTAAAATATGTTTGAGACTATAAATAAGTGTGTGATTTGTACGTAGTAGTACCAGTACCACATAAGAATCTTATATTTTTCCTTCTTACTATCTTTACTTTGTAGTAAGACCCACACTTCAGTTGTTTTTGCTTTAGAATTAAAACAGTCTAACTGATACATATAAAGTTTATTCAGATATTTTGCAAATGGTTTAAAACTCGGTGTACAAGTGACAACAATAAAACCCATGTGTTGGTTGTGAAACAGACTAAATGCATTTGTCTCAATAATACAGGGGAAGCTGTGACATTCTCACAGTTGGGGTCTCAATATACTGAAGAGCTTAAGTTTCAAATTCCAACATAAATATTGCCTATAATGAAAGGAATGTGACCAGGACTAATCTGTTAAGTGCTGTGAAGTAATTTTCTTTGTAATTTATAGTGTCTGTATCATTTGGTAATCTCTTCTAACAGGATGTATGAAGTAACTAGGCTCAGGTGGTGTTATTCAAACCACCTGCACTGTAAACTATTACATACATTTGCTAGTAGTGGCAATTAGTTTTATCTGTATAGTGCATCAACATACATGGACATATGTTGAAATAAATTTGTTTGAAAGTTCAAAGAAATGATATTCAAGTACCGAAAAGCTTTCTTACTATGATATCTACAGTAATGTTTAAACGCACCTGTACTGGACTGAATGAGAGTGACCACCAACAGGCATGATAGTTTACGGCAAATGTACAAAGTTCACGCTGCTAACCTCATGATTTATTCAGCGCAATAAACAAAAGTATGGCTGCAATGAAACATAAACATAAACTTTAAATAAAAATACATTTATGAAACAAAATGAAAATGGTATTTACGTACATATATAAACATGAAATCCTAGTTAAAATAAAATACTCATTTATTATTTAAGTTTATTTACAAATATTATTTTCGGAT